CCTATGTAGAAAGGTGCTGGGCAGGTCCTGTTTCTTGAGACTCCAGGTCCATCTCTGCCCTTTTTATGCCTCTTCTGCCTACCGTTCACATAGCTTTTGTATCATGCAAAGTGTTACACACTCCATATGTCCTCTGGCACTTAAGTTTCTCCTCTAACAATGTCGAAGCCTGGCAAGCTGCTAGCCCGGAAAAAAAACCCAACACCAAAAATGGGTTAGAGGGATGGAGTTTTAAAAAGGGAAAAAAATTTATTTTTAAGGAAAAAAAAAAAAAAAGAATAGAAGGCAGAAACAAGCTGCCCCAATGAGAAGGCTGGGTATCTGGGAAAAGATGGGTACCCCCAGGCCCTTGTCCCTGGTTTTTTTTACTAGGAGTTGGGACCCTTCCTTCTAGATGAATACCTGGAAATTGTCACAGTCTGATTCCCTGGACTATCTTTGGATGGGTCCCAGGTGCACTTTCCCTTTGGTGGACTTTGTTTGATTTTTTTTTTCCTGTCCTCTTGTCCTTGTCAGGGCCTTATCTCTGGGATGTATAACTTGGTTAGGAGAAGCCTAATAGAAAAAACAGTTTAGAGTAAGTGATTAAGTAAGGGGAAGCATGTGTTTCTAGCGCAGTAATAGTGACTCAAGAGTGAAAAATATATATACATATAAATGCATGGGTGTGTATTTTTATACAATAAAATATAAGAGTTTTCTTTTAAGTTAGGTAGTCCTTGTCTCCTTTGCATTTTATTGGAGGTAAGGGAGAGGTAGTAATCTTCGTTTCCATACACCTGGCTTTCTTCTGGTTAATCTCCATTAGAGAGCATTTCTTTCTCTGTGTTGACTGTTTATGTTATTTGTGCTATCTGGAGCTTTTCTATGTCTGGTGCATTCTCTCTCGTAACTGCTCCTAAAGGAATTCCTTTAGTAAAGTGTTAACTCCTTTTCTCAGGATTGACCAGTGAATCTAGCTGTAGAGGCCAAAGCTGCTTTTAGTGAGAATTTCTACTATTTCTCTAATAAAGTCTAAAGAGGCCCTTATTCTATTCTTTCCCGTCCTACAGACCCCTGTACCTACAATGTGTCTTGGAATTGCTCCATGCCAGACCAAAGCCTCTCCTCCCTCTTTTCAAATTGCAGCATACTCTCTGTGGATGCCCATACTTATTAAGCCTCATTTCTCTGCGTGGGCAGTTCGGTTATTTCCTGCATTTTGAAGCTGCAGTCTACAGAGAAATGTTGCAGGCATGTGTGTTTTAAATTTCTTCAGCCAACTTCCAGAGTGAGAGTGTATCAGGTAGCCTGCTTCTAAAAGGGGCTCACAAACTAAACACTACTGGATTTTGGGTTGCTTGCCTCTCCCTCTGGAGTTAGATTCTAGGTTCTTTTCATCTTGAACAAAGAATTGACCAAAACAAGCAAAACAAACAAACAAACAAATAACAAAAACAAAAACAAAAAAACAGTGACAAAGTTTATTAGAGAAAGTAAAAGTGAAGAGTGGGGAACACACTTGCTCTGCAGACCCAGTTTGGGCTGACTTAAAGGAAAAAGCAAGATAAAAGAACACCTTGGAGATAGCCGGGTAGGCTGTCGTGAGGAGAACCCAGGGTACCAAGATCTTCTTTTGGCGCCTCTCCTTTTTGCCGTCCAAATCTCAAGAAAACTTGTGAGAACTTCTACCTACAGGTCCCAAGAGGCAGTGCTGGGATCCCACGTCTCAGGTTGATGCCAGATCTAGCTCATTCTACTGAAAACCTCCTTGAATTTTCATGACAAGTCCATGTGCAAGGCTTTGGGAACTGTTTTTGCACACGTGTTCCAGGATCTTTGTAATTAACAGATCACATCTACTTCCCCAGCCAGTTTTGCCATGCCCTGATCTCCTATCTGAGGATTGCACACAGAGAACTGGCTGAATACACCAGAATCCCCCCAAAGGCTACCCGCTACAGACAACAGCTTCCCTACAGCCAGCCAGCAGAAGTTGGAGGTGATTTTGCTAGTTTTGTGGTGAGGGGAGGCATCACAGCATTGTGGGAATGTGCAGTTCTCTACCTGCAAACTAGAGCAGCAGAGTGTGCTGTGCATGCACTTGGAACACAGCACACTTGAGCTGAGGGCTGTATTGGTCAGCTTTCTCATCACGGAGACAAAATACTTCACACCTGCCATGTGAAGGAGGAGAGGTCATTTTGGCTGGTGGTCTCATGGGGTACATGTCATGATCAGCTGGCTCCAAGGCAGAAACAGCATGGTACAAGTGTGTAGCAGAGCAACACTGCTCAACCCATGGCAGCCAGGAAGCAGAGAGGACCATTTGGGGGACCATTTCAGACATAAACCATAATGGGGGCTGTTTTCTTTTTGTTTTGTTTTGGTACCGGGGATCGAACTCTGGCCCTTGTGCTTGCGAGGCAGGCACCAGAACCACTGAGCTAAATCCCTGGCCCCTAATGGGGGCTGCTTTTCACCCCCTTCTTTTGATTTGTCTGTCATGCTCTTGTTTTCTATGGCTTTTGGTCCTTTGTTCCTCCATTTTCAATAGTTCTTTTAATTGTTCTCATGGCTTTTCAGTGTCTCTAGCTACTTTCACAAAGCATTGTTTCTAACTTCAAAATAGCTTATTTTGTCTTTCAGAACAAGGGGAATGGAATTTATAACTTAACTTGCAGAGGAAAGCATCTTCCTAATGTTGAGCTCTCTGGTTCAAGAGCAGGGATTGCCTTTCCCCTTGTTCAGGTCTACTTCTGTTTCCAGAGTGTTTTCAACATTTCTTTATAAAAACTGTATTGAATGCCTTGTGTAATTTATTTCTACTTTTTGTAGCTGTTATATATGGGCTTTTTCGATCATGTTGTTTGTAGAAAGGAAGATTACTGATTTTGTAACCTGCTGCTTTGCTGGATTCTTTTATTCAATAAATTCATTTCATCATAGATTTTCTGTATTCCAAGCATTCTACAGTCTCCTCTGCCCACTACAGTACTTCTGCAGTACTTCTCCGCCCACTCTGGGCTGTTGCTTGTTCTTCCTGAGTGGTTGATTAGTTAGTGCCTCTGGAATAACATTAAGAAGTGGCAGAGATGTGCAGATGCTGTTCTCTTGTTGCCTCTAGCTTTTCTCTGTTAAACAAGAGAGTGGCATTGAACCTTAACCTCACAGCTCATTGTGTTAATAAATGTTCCCCATGAGTTTGGCAGAGGCTTTCTTGGCATCTGTGAAAACAATCATGATTTTTCCTCTTAGATTTGTTATGGTGCAGTTTTTGTTTGTTTGCAGAAGCAGCTTAGGCTTTATTTTGGAAAAGACAATCAAATAGGTTTTGGTAGAGGGTATAGGCAAGTTGGGGTACCCCAGGCGGCAGATTCCCCAGTGTGGGCTGAGGGCTAGGGCTGAGCCTCAGGTGGATCTCATGTTCTCATTACTCCTCTGTACAGCTGTCCCTACCACAGGCTCTGGGATGGCTACGGGAAGGGCAGAGTCTGGGAGAAGCTGCAGTGGCCAGTAACGTAGGCAGGATGTCAGACCTGGGCAGGACTCAGACACCAATTTCCTATCATAGGTCTTGATTTTCTTCACAACCGTGGCCTTAATGCTGCCAAAGGAGCTGGAGCTCATGCTGGAGCTGATGCCAGGACTCAGAACACTCCCATAGAGTGGGCTTAGCATTCCTAATAGCCACTTGTGGTCTTCGTGTGGATATTCATGTTCTGCACCCCAGACTCCATCCAGCCTGAGCTCCTCTCCCTCCAGAAGCTTGCAGTATTAGGTGGCAGTCTTGATGTCAGCAACAGCTTGACATTCATGGTCCACCAAGTCCTGCTTGGCTTCTGCAGGGCAGCTTTCAGCTGGGCCAGCCTGGGGTTGGCATCCTTAATGGCCATGCTCAATACCCATTCCGCTCAGCATCAGCAGTTGTAGCCTCCACAGACATGGTCTGGCCTTTGAGGACCTCAGCTTCCTCCTGCAGGCAGCAGATGCTGTAATTTATCTCAGAGATCTCCATCATCATACAGCACAGGTCATCGTCGTGCTTCCCAGCCAGTGTCTGCAGCTCCTCATACTTGATCTGTACTTGTTCTCAGTCTCAGCCAGGCTATAGCTGATGATCTCCTTGTACTGAGCCTTGACCTCAGCAATGATATTGTCCCCATCCAGGGAGCGGCTGTTGTCCACAGACAACTCCATGGATGTGTCCAAGGTGCAACTCTCACATCTCCTCTTCATATAACTGCCTGTGGAAGTTGATCTCAGCTTCCAGGAAAGACTGCAGCTTCACCTTGTTCATGTAAGCTTTACCTACCTCTTTCCTGATGAGAAAAAATCATTCTCCATCTCTTTGTGCTCGTTGATCTCATCCTCGTACTTATTCTTGAAGTCCTCTACCAGCCCCTGCATGTTGCCAAGCTCCACTTCCAGCTACAGCTTCTCCTGGTCCAGAGTGTCGCAGCTGGAGGTTGTCGACATAGCCTTAGAACATGTGTCCCATGCTGCTCCCGCGATCTTCTGCTACTGCAGGGAGCTCCACTTGGTCTCCAGAATCTTGATCTGTAGCTCCAGGAAACACCACTTTTTGATGAAGGGAGCAAATTTTTTGTTGAGCATCTTGATCTTCTTCTTCTGAATGTGCAGTCTGGATATTGAGGTCCACCTCCAGGTTCAGAGGGGTTCAGAAGGCTCTGGTTTAGGTGGATGGCTGTGATGCTGCCCACACCACCAGCTCCACTGGAGCTACCGACCAGGCAATTCAGAGGCTGCCCCAGAAACTGCGGGGACCAGGGCCATGCATTTGCAAAGGGGCTGATGAAAGACTGGGGGCTGGAGGTGAACACTTGTAAGACCTCTGTGTTACCGTGATGGACATGGTAGAGGCTGGCAGGCCAAAAGAAGAAGAAGCAAGAGGCAGCCAGGCAGCTGCTTCTAGGTGGTTTGCTGTTAGTGTATTGTTTGGTGTCATTAAGTCCGCTTTGAATTCCCAGGGGGAACATCCATTTTGTTACATTTTTTCTTAAAGAGGAATCAGGTTCTGTTAAATAATATTTTGTCTAGAATTTTTACACTGATGCTTATGAGAGATATTAAACTTTAGTTTTCCCTCTTTGCACTTGGTATATTTGGTTTAAATAATAGCATTTACTTGCTTCATAGGAGAAATCAGGATGCTTTTCTTTCTCTTCAAAGCTCTAAAATAATTCATCGAGCATCAAGACTGTCTGGTCTTTGTGAGGCTTGGGAGAATGTCCTGTGGACCCATCTGGGCCCAGTGCTTTTTATGGGCAGTTCCTTAGTACCAATTCTCCATTTCTTAGATGGAATTTGGTCTGTTGGTGTCTAACTGTAATGGGACAAAGTTTGCTCATCTTTGTTTCCAGAGGAAATTATGCAACTAGGTTTTTAAAATGCATTTGCACAGGGAACTGGAAAATGTCTCTTACGATTGTTTAAAGCTCTTTTGTTTCAAAAGTTAAATCTCTTAAATAAGGGTTTTAAAAGGACAGAGAAATTTGGATAACTGGAAATACCATCATCCTAGAATTTTAAGATTATAGTTTCCAAAGTGACTTGTCCTAGAGTGTTGTTTACGCCTGGCATGTGAGGATGACAAGACAGAGTCTTCTCTATCCTTTTCTCCTGTTGGTTAAAGGATGACCAGTGTGAAAAGCAGCATTATTCCCTGGAGATTAATAGACAGCTGGCCTCAGGGAACAGGCCTAGCCACCAGAGAGGTCCTAACCAGTTCCTTGATGGCCAGTTAACTTCAGTCTGATCTGTAGTGCATGATATTCAGATGTCAAATATCAAAAAATATAATGTCCACATAGATCAATTATACTGTCATATCGTGGGACTTCATTCTCCCACAGGAAACTGAGATGTTATTTTTGACCTTAAAATTAGAATAGCTTTTTTCTTCTTTTTTCTAGCTACTAAAAAGTACTTGTGTCAGGCTAAGGATTTAGCTCAATGGTTCCACCATTGAGTGCAAGGTCCCAAGTTCGATCCCCAGTACCAAAAAAAACAAAAAACAAAAAAAAACAAAACCTTGTGCCCTTCTTAAGAACAAAAGTGCCTGAGTCGTTCTGTTCAGCCTAGGCACGTTTCTGGTGCAGGATGCTTATCTTATGGGGACACATCCTGACCCACTGACGACAGGAGTGGACCTGACCACTAAGGACATGATGAGAATTTCAGACCAAGTCTTCACTTTCTCCTCACAGCGTCAGTGTCCTACATCTGAATGACCTGGTGACTGGACAGTGCCAGGTGGACAACATTTGCGGTAGGTGACCATCCTGGACTAGCAAGGCTCTGGCCGGTTCAACACCACCAGGAGCTTTTGTTCATGGCAAAAAGAGAAGTTCCCAGGGTCTAGAGAGGAAGAATGTGCCCAGGGAAGCCTGGGACAAATAGGGAGAAGAGGGACTGTGGGACCCCTTCTCTGGGTCACGATCCTGGAGCCATGTACTGAACCACCCTCCACCCCATCCCCACTTCCGTCCCCTGCTACCCACAGCTCTCCAAATACAGTGCCGTGGGCTGGACCCAAGTCTCTTCTCTGGGCTCAGGAGCAAAAATGCTGATGTAAATAACTACTTCACAGAAAAAAATGGCCTTAACAGTACATTTGCATACAAATGTACTAATTATGATTCTCTTCTTATGTGTTAGAACAGAATTAGCAGTTAGAATTATACTGGGACATGATATTCTTAAGACCCTTAGAAATACAAGCATGCAGAGGTACTTAAGTACATGCATCTCTGTGTATCTCTGTGCATGTGTGTCTGTGTCAGTGTGTACACCTATACCTGTCTGTGTGTCCATGTGTCCGTGTGTGTGTGTGCACGTCACTCCCTGGTATCCAAGTTAAGTGCCTGTCTCTTCATCCTGCATCACGTGTGGCCCTTTGTTTCTCAGGAGATTTTGTTCCTTGGAGTTGGCAGCAACCTAAAGACTATTGCCTTGACTGAGCATATTTGGTCAGTTCTGTGAAGTCTTGTGGGCTTTGCATGGCGGCAAAATTCTTATTTCTGAAACAGAACCATGAAGTCATGGTGCATTCAGAGACTTGAGCTCCTGGTTTGCATCTAAAGGGCCTGCCTTGGCTCAGCAGCCTCCAGACCTGCTCACAGCTTTCTGCATGGGGCACTGGTTTATGGAGGCTGCCTCTGAGAGGCAGAGGAGAGAGTGGGTAGCTTCACAGCCCACTTCACACATGCGAGAGAGTCACTGCAGTATAAAACCTTCCCGATGTTATAGTAGTAGGGGAGTATTTTGTGATTTCTGAGTTTGTGGAAAAACAATTGTATTGAAGAAAAATGTTCTCTTTCTATCTC